ATTCTTATAGGAAACTGTTAATATTGCATCTACACACGATATCAGAAAGTTATTTCAAAACGTATGTATGATAAAAATGTAGAAAGATATCTCTACTTAAAAAAAAAAAACAAGTAATTACGAGCGATTATTGAGCGCGTGAATATAACTTGTGAAAGTTCTCTTAATTAAAAGATAGGTTGTGAAAGTTCAGCCAATTAGGAAGATATTAAAAAATAAGTTTTCTATTAATATAAAAAAAGATTCTTTTTCAATTGCGACACTTTTTTAAAGCAACGATAACGTTTTTCTCTTCGATGGTCATACACGTCAGCGTCGAGTGTCCCCTCCTCTCCCCGTTTTGGCGAACGGATAAGACACGTAATTGGAAGGTAACAACGGTAGCGTGGAAGGAAACGTAAATATCGAGGTAAATCGCGGATATGGAACATGAGTAACGTAACAGAAGAGCACGCCCACACGCTTTAGAAAGTCCGCCGATTCGAGTTCCGTGAAAGGAGTGACTTCGGTAATTGTTAGCCTTGATGCAGACGCATCATCCTACGGTCGGCAAACTCTTTTGTCCGAGATATTCATTTCCTCTTGCGCGCGTGGGTAAATTGAGAAAAAAAAAGCGCGAGAGTTTTAGCGGAAAGGAGACGCACGTTCCGAACGAGCGTAGAAAACGCCAGTCGATAGGAAAACCGATAACTCAGGTATATTGACAAAACATAGTACGTAGGTATGTGTTTTCTTACCTCGCTAAAGCGTTGGTGCTGAGTCTCTTTCTGCCTGAACTGCAAGCATAAACGCGACAATATTTTCCTTACTCTACGTTTTATTAGGATCTTTATTTATGGATTACTCATTCGAGCAAGAATTGCGTTCCTACTGACGTTGATCACGCGGTGCCAAATTTCACGGTCAAACGTTATAGTTTTGATCATAAGCCAAGTGTCACGGCCACGAGTGTGCAATTGCGACAAATATATATATATAGGCACATCATCGTCAGTGCTAAATAGCAATTTACTTGCTGCGTCTAATTATACGACATATAAATTCTAGGTATGTATATAAGTATGAACGTTTACAAATCTCGATCTTTGTATTCTTTCTATTACCAGAAAATCAGTCTCTCTCTTTCTCTATATGACTCAACGTCTTATGCGTTCCGGTGTTTCGAGCAGATTTAAGATTACGCAAACCAAAAATCAACATATTTCGACTGTTAGTAATAATTTGTCGAAAGTAATAATTGAATCCGTTCCTCTCCTGCTTCAGTATTTCTCGAGACTTTGCGATTAACAAGCGACGAGAGAGCAGGAAGCGATTGTTTGGGTAACGACGTGTTCCGTACGGGCTCGCTTCCGTCATTCCGCGTAGATAGATGGATGGCCGGAGATACGCGGGCGCTTCTCAAGAAATTTAACAGGTTCCTTATCTCGGTCGTTGCATTAACGACGTTATTTAACATCGCCAGTCAGTCGCTTTCCCACGAGGTTCGTTTCGCACGCCGCGGCGGAATCGTCATTGTCTCGCCGTTGCCGTCGCCGTCGCCGCCGCCGCGCCGTCGCGCTTGCTTCTTACGAGCGAAACGGCGGAAATTCTCTTGGACGCGAAATTATGTACGCGCGCGTACGTATGTATACCTGCATGCGTGCAACGCAGGCGGAACGCAACGCTCGTCAACAGGGTTCTCTCCTTACCAGGGGGGCGTTCTCCGCAGCGACGTACGTAACCAGGAATGCCTTCCAACGGTGGAGTTCGGACTTCTCGGATTTCTACAAAGTCAGAAAGCACAATGATTGCCAGTCTGTTTCTGCAGAGTCGGCAGAAATTTTCCCGCGGTATAAACGAGCTCGCGATTCAAAGAAGAATTCATTTCACGCGTGAATGATTTTGGTAATCGGCATATGAGACGCTAAGAATAAATATGTAAAATATTTTATCTGTATTATGGTTCAGTTAAATCGTTGTTGAGATTTTTATTAAGCCTAAAATTCTTCTGAGAACACATTGAAATAATTTGTTGGAACTTTTAAAATTTTCCATTGAATGCGTTAATCTTTGCACGTGACTGCGCAAACATACTGGGAACAAAACCGATTCTTTATGAACGAATACCTCTTTGTCTCGTATTTTAATTGCATAATAAGCAGTTTCTTCTTCCTTATGCAATTATTCACCTTTGACGTATTTTAAAATGACACAAAACGTACACATGAATCAAAAATAAATTTCGCACTTTATGTTAAAGGTCGCGCGTTAATGCATTGGCTTTTACGCGAGAAAAGTTTACCACAGATTAAACGGTACATGATTTAACAGGAAATCACGTCACTATCGAGAATACTTTGGTGCGAGTACCGCAGAGCGACTTTTAAAAATATACATTTCCATTTATTATGTAACTCGTGTGACTTGCGCATGCAAATGGCAAGTCAGTCGGTATATTGTTCCAAGGTGATAGACATTGTATGCAGCGTAGCTCTTACGTAAACTCATCCAGCGTAAAAATGCATAGGCATACTTCAGATTATACTGCATTTTAACGTTTTTTTACGCCGTATATATATTGTAGCTTCGAAAATAACCCGCTACATTCCCGCGACCTGATGTTACGTATCGAGCGAATAACGGCAGGAAGCAATTGACATAATGGAAGGCCCAGTTCGCTTTTGCTCGCTTCTTGCCTAGATTAGAATTGTCAAGCGATTCCGAATGTTATACGATGCTCGAGTGCATGCGATTGCGCGACTCGATTTCCGACGTTTCAAATTAATTGTTATAAAACGCAATTGACTTGAAATCGAGAAAAATTTCGCAAGAAGATCAAAGTTTCAGAAGAAATCTCTCGTTTTAGATTATAAATTTGATAAAATAATTCTCTTATAATATTAATAAATAAAAAAAGAAGACACAGAGTCACAAGATGTTCAAATCGTAATCTTTAATTAAATTAAAACTTTAACAAATGTTTCTCTCTCTCTCGGTCATCAGACATCTTCAACACATAAAAAACCGGTAAAAAAAGATAAAAATAAAAACCACAATGCACGCGTTAATCACACTGTAGTTGCTATCGCAATATAAATTCGAATCAAACGCACATCCTATTTCTTCAATGTATGATGATGTCGCGAAAAAATGTATATTATTCTTATAATAGTCTTGATCAGACATTCTTATATCAGAAACATCTTGCATACAAAACAATTAAACTTAATTAATCTTCAATTAATATATTTACCACAAAACTGTTTTGTGACACCATAATTGTCCTTTATTTTTTCTAAATTTCTATTTTACTGTTCAATTGATTCATTTAAATTGGCAGACCTCGTCAGATCTTATCTCTGCCGATTACTTGCAACAGCCATGAAATTACTTAACGACGAAACGTCAAATAGATTGTATCCTATTAAATATTCCCGTGCAAAGAAATGAGCACAAAGGAAAGTCACTTATCCCGCAAAGTAATCTCCAATCGCGGTACGTCCCATAGGGCAATCTTCTACAAACGAACACTCAAATTAATGCGTTCATTGTTTCGTATATACGCAACATCTACAATCTTCTTATAAGAATTTGATAATCTATTTGATAATCTCTTTCTCGGTTGAACCGTATAAAATGACTTCATTCAAGCAAGCTTTCATTTCGAAACTTCCGCGTTGAAATTAAAGACACATTTTCAAATCAAGAATAAATATTCTTTTTTTCTATGAAGACATCGCCGGGCTTACCTGTGCGAGTTGGTGCCGGTGGGCGAGGGCGCGGAACTGCTACCGCCCGGCGACTCCGGTCCGTCGTCGACCGAGTCGCCCTCGACGGAGCCGAAGCCCTCGTAGCTCTCCTCCTCGTCGTGGCAGCCGATCTTGATCGTGGCGTCGTTGCCTACCGACCTGGCCTGACGGTCGTCTTCCGGGCTCGCCGAGTACCGTCCCGAGTCAGTGAGATTCGAGCTGACAAGATTGTGCAGGTCGACCGACATCGAGAGCGAGGGCGGCCCGCTCTGGCTCCACTCCTGCGGCCCGACGCCGACGCCGCCGTTCGTCGCGCGGCCCTCGTCCTCACGCGACGCGTTCCCCGCGTTGTGGCCGTCGGCCACGCCGCTACCGTTAACGGTGGACGTGACGTTCACGCTCGGCGTGCGGGAGCTCACCATCCTTGGACCCCACGGCGATGGGCCCCGGCGCCGCCGGTGTGTCCGCGCGACGCAACGACGACGTGGTGAACGCGCCGAGGAGGAACGCTCTCATCCGCCGGCAGCACCGCCAACCCGTTGTCGCCTGCCCCCGTCGTTGCTGAAACACCACGTCCGTGAGTCAGACCCGAGGTATGCCAGGAGCGCGTCCGCTTCGGGAGCAACTCTAGCGGTGTGGCAGACGAGAGAGAAAGGGAGAGAAAAAGAGAGGGAGAGAGAGAGACGGAGAAAGAGAGAAAGAGAGGTAAGTCGAGTCGAGTCGTTGCCCGCGAGAACCTCTCCTCTCTCATTCTCCGTCGAGAAGTCGGGGTCGAGGTAAACCTGTATGTATGTACGAGCAACGCTTTTCACATATGATTGAAATCGGTCTTGAGGAAGAGAACGTCTGCTATCTTTTATTCGAGATAAAAGAAACAGCGATAGAAAAGCGCGCGCACTCTCGACGCCGAGTTTGGAGTCTTATCGCTGCGTTTCGCGTTGCGTTCATTGTATTAATCGCGTTACGTCAGTTCCTGGCAAAATTGTGCAACAGAAGCAGCACGTACGATTTTATTCCACAACTCCAACGTCGATTATATGTTAACGAGATAAATCCCGCAAGGTGGAACGGAACGACAGATCTCTCAGCGAATCTCGCTGTTAATAACCGAATGACGTCGCGAAATTAATTTCACACGAAAATCCCAGATAATGCGGAAGCCCGGAAATCACCTTCCAGGCTTTGTACTCGGATAATTACCTGAGAAATCAAATTACCAAAAAAAAAATTGATTCAAGGTACGATAGATTAAAAATCGAGGAAATAAAATGGGCTAATGAAGCTAGTTATTAGTGCCAATTATGTGTATTCAAAGATGCGTCAAACGTTTCGACCTGTAATGAGGTCATCGTCAGTGCATGACATGAATCATGAACAACAGAAATTAAAACAATAAGTCGTTATTAAAGTTGGTAGAGTACGAACGCAAGTTGAAATTTGTTGCAATGACTACAAATTTCGTATGAGTAGTACAACAATTTTCTTAGATGAGTTGACTTTTGTGAGTCTCGTGACGTGGAATTTGGAATTGCTCCGCTAATCCTACAGTTGCCATGTAAAATTTTGTTGAAAACCAAAACTGAAATTTAAACGGCCAATTCCAAACAGGAGGAAGAAATTAATGTGCGTATCAAATGGAGATGTTACTATATAAGTGAAAAAATCGTAATACCTAATAGCGAATTCGGGCGCTTGCACTAGTGCACACTGAGTGCGCACTAAGGCTTGTTTATAATATAATTCTTATATTTAAAGTCGCTTAAATACACATTTAAAAACTTTTTAGCCAATAAAACAATCTGTAATTTCTATATGGATGCTGTACAAATCATTTTACAGTAACTATAATAAGTATAATTTAAGGTGATCTGTAAATATAACAATTGATTAAGAACAAGCCTTAGTGCGCACTCAGTGTGCACTAGTGCAAGCGTCCAAATTCGCTATAACTAAATCATAATTTAAATTATAACACCATAGCTCGGTTTATTAGCCCATTTTATTTTTTTTTTTTTCAAATGATCACATTTCTCTGAACTACGTGCCAGAAATTTCAACACGAATTAACACAATCCGCGTGGATTGCAGAAAATGCAAAGCGCCGCCGCTGGTTCGTCGATTTATGCAAAGGGGAATCTGGCCGCCTTTCCGATCTTTCGCCTCTTTCTTGCGCAACGCCTGCTGACATCGACTGGTAAGCGGCTCGCGGTCATTATGCTAATGAGGTAAATACAGACATCGCCATGCCTAGGTATGGAACGACGGCGAGAGATCTCGCGATATCTCCCCAGTTTATTAAAACGTATGGATTCGCGGCGAGGGGCGCGGGGTAGGAGAAAAGCGTGAGAACTGGCCGTCACGGTACAGTGAGTGCCGAACGAATCGTCGAAGGAGAGAACAAACTCGTCTATGATGAATTATTTACCATATCTACGTGGTTGCATACAGTAGTTGGGAGCTATTTAGCCTTATCTCCATCTTCCGCGTCTCTCGCCGCGTGACTCGCAGTTTCATTTAAGCTTCGAAGATAGGTTCGAGGATTTCGTGCATGTCGAAGGATTTTGGACGATGAGATTACGTGGCGCACGCGTTGAATCTTCGGCGCCTTAGACTGTGCGGGGAGTAAATACGTCTTATCGGACTTGTTGAGAAATCCGGATGCACCGCTGTTTGTTTTTGTCTGAGACACGTTTAGTCAACTTAGGAGAAACAAAGCGGTTTCTTACTGTTTAACGCAAAACCGTTGTCGGTGAATCAGCGACGCGAAAGCACAAAGAGAGGATTTCGCTAAATAAAATGACGATTTGCATGATTGAAGATCGAATGTATAGGGTGTTCTACAGTCAACTATATATGACGAAACCGCTATCGGGAAGTCAACGATGCGAAAGCATAAAGAAAGATTTTTGTCAAATAAAATGACAATAAATGTGATTAAAAATCGAATATATATAGGGTCTTCTACAGTCAATTTTGACGAATCAAATTTAATAACAAATTCTTTCTTGAAGAATTTTTCTTCCCAAGATAACAAGCTATCGTTCGTTCTTAAATTACGTGATAAGAGAATGGATATTTTTAGAAAATTAAGCCTGCGGCGAGCATTTAAATGACAAAATCTTTTTGTTCGCTTGAAGTGGGACTTCATTCTCCCGAAAACTTATTTCACATTTAAACAAAGACAGCGTTAACATTGAAAGTCAGATATTAATGCTAAGTCAAACGAAATTAAAAGATATAAAGTAAAGAAAGTGCAGAGCGAGACAATAACAGTCTTTGTTTAAATCCTGTTTAAGGGAAAGTTGAGTGTAACTCCACCAAAGAAGCTGTCATTAAAACCGCGGTTCTGGAGCAGCCTGCGGAACGTTAAAGACACAAGTTTCAATGTTCTGGCATAGCGGTACAGTATGACATAGTGGCATCGGCAGATCGTTTTAATGATCGGCCGAACGGTACCGTTCGCGCACGTGACTCACGATGCCATGTGCCGTGTGCGTCGTAAAAGTGTGCCTGTCAAGTTCAAAAGAGCTTTTAACGTGCGATAATCGTATTATCTTAACACGATAACCGTTAAGCACTGGCAAATGTTCCTCCTTCTGTCGCTCTTTATAGAGCTCGTCTGTATTCATCGATATCACGGAAAGCATAGCGACGCGTGTCATCTAAAGAAAGAAAACTATCGAGAGACTAACAATAAGTTCGAACTTGACTATGTGCACATTGTTAAATTAGTAATGTTGAATTATACTCAATTTAAGTCATTTTTAAACATTCCTATATATAAGTCATCACTGCTCCTATACTTAATATGTCGTTCATTTAAATAAACCAATAAAGTTAAAATAAGTCTGTTTTGTGTTAAAATAATATTTAATATTGACACACATAGTTAACAATAACAAAATGTTATCTAACTGAAAGTATTGATTTAAATTTAATCCTTTAATATTTAACAGTGTGTCCCAGAAACTCTATAATATTATCTCAAAATATTCTAACGAAAGCGGGGTAAGAAGTCACAGTCATATTGAGTAGGTCGCCACTGCTCTTACTCAACATGTCGTTAATTTAACTAAAGCAATGAAGTTAAAATAACACTGTTTTGTGTTAAAATAATATTTAATTTCGACACACATGGCAGTTAAAAATAACAAAATGTTATCTAACTCAAAGTATTGGTTTAAATTTCATCCTTTAATATTTAACAGTGTGTCCCAGAAACTATAATATCTCAAAATGTCCTAAAGGAGATAAGAAGTCACATTATTTCTCCCTCTTTCCTTCTCTCCCTCTGACAAAAAAAAATTGCGTATATTTCCCAAAGACCGAGAATCTCCGAATGCTTTGTTCAAATACGAGAATAAAATGCGAGGCTATTTTAATAAATATCGATCGATTCGCGACGTCGGCCAAGCGGTGTCCTCAATTGCGGACGCTGGTTGGCGCTCGATCGAAGGAAGGAACGAGGATAACCGGGGAAGATCGACTGATAATCCTGCAGTTGTTGCAAAACTATTGTTTCGAGACTTTCGAGTAACCGTTCGAGGCCTGTCGCGGTGCAAAAGGATTAACGCAGCAACGAGTTCTTACGTTACAACGGACTGGAAATCGAAATCGGATCAAGGAGATTCGTGCATAACGTATCAACGCCGCCCGTAATACGGTATCATACGTTTTACCTCCACATAAATATATCGAGTTACTTACTGACTAGGAACCGATAATCGCGCGTGTTCGCTTTTTTTAAACTGGATTTTACGGGCGGTCGATTTGCTCGCGATTAGCAACGCGCTTTTTCGCGCAGCGTGACGTGCGGGACACGCGGTCGAGATTAGGGCAGTTACTCCTCTTTCATAGCTTCGAAAAATATATTTACGAGATAATTGTAACGTTAGAAATTTTATTCGAATTTTGTCATATAATTTTATGACAAATGGGTGCCTAATTGCGGTACTATTTATAATTATATTGACCCTAGCTCGCCACACTCCGGTCTCACTGGACTGAACGTTTTTCGGTTTTCTAGTTTTCACATAATAACATATAATTTTCTAATTTCCTTATAATAAGTTCAGTTTAAATTCAAATAATCTTCTCGACCTGATATTATCATAAACATCTTATTCAGAGTCTGTATTTAGAATAAAAATGGCAACGCGACAAAGTACAAAGTCGAGCAATCTCACGGACTGTCCAGTGGCGGATTAAGGACTCGAAAATAAAATGTGGTTAGCTAGGGTTAAATTAATAATTGTACAATTTTGATTCTTCGAGGCTCCGAAGTTTCGAAACTTCGACCTTCGAAGATTTTAATGTCGAAGCTTCCAAGTTCGAATATCGAAGCAAATCATCAGGCCTAGGGTCAGTTGTTCCAATCTGTTGGCAAACGAATGATTAAATCATAGACATGTCTTTGTTTTTCCTTCAAATTAGACAAAGACAAGACATGATTTAATTATTAGTTTACCAACAGGTTAGAGTGTTAGAGCAACCGGTCCCTGGTCGAGATCGCGCCTCGCAATGTCGCCGCGCGCGTCTATCACGCGTCACGCTCGGGCTGTTTACTAAGCGCGCGCGGGACAGGACGGGACAGGACAGGACAGAATCAGCACTACCAGCAGGCGTTTACGGTCTCCAGGCACTTGTCACTCGGAACGGAATGCGTATATAGATGCGTTTCGAATCGGCGGCGGACCGAGATTCCAGTTCGCCTATTTAGAGCGAGCTCGAAAGCGCGGCCGGGAGGAGAGGGAGGATATATTTAACGCGCGCGAGAGAGTTTCCGATATCTAATCTTCGTTTCTCCCAACGGCATGGACACACGGATATCGCCAGCATCCGCGCGATCCCGCCTGTTGCCCGTATATCGCGTCCTGTTTACCGTCCTTACCTGGAGCGAGTCGCTCGTCGACGAATCGACCGATCCTCCAGCAT